CTCTCTCTCTCTCTCTCTCTCTGGGTTTTGGTGAGGATTCAATAATATATCAATACTGTGTCAAAATGTCCAGCACCCAGTGACTACATCATGGTATTACTCAATAAACAACTGCTATTACTGAGTGTTAGAAAGGTCTACTTCCTTTTTCTGAGTGGATGTCAATGATAGTTTCTAAAGTTGAGGACACATGCTTGATCTATGACATAAATACTCAATGTCTCTAAAGTCAGACTTGGTCCCTACAGATCTCCATCTCTAAGTCACATCTGTGTAGCTCCCCTGCTAAATAATCATGGACATCCTACTTGAAGACACGTCCTTCTATTTCCACACCCTCCATTTTCCTCAGAAGAGACCAAAACTAATGAAATATGCTATAAAACATTCTTTCTTATTTAAAAAAAAATCTTTGGCATAATTGTTAATATAGGTTTTAGATAATATCTCACATTCTAACTTATTTTTTTTTTCTAACTTATTTTTGGACAAAAAAAATTTTTTTTTTTTTTGAGACAGAGCCTCAAGCTGTCCTCCTGGGTAGAGTTCTGTGGCATCACAGCTCACAGCAACCTCCAATTCCTGGGCTCAAGCGATTCTTCTGCCTCCGCCTCCCAAGTAGCTGGGACTACAGGTGCCCACCACAACACCCAGCTGTTTTTTGGTTGTAGTCATCATTGTTTGGCGAGCCCGGGCTGGATTGGAACCTGCCAGCTCAGGTGTATGTGGCTAGGGCCTTAGCTGCTTGAGCCATAGGCGCCAAGCCTTGGAAAAATATTTTTATGAATCTTGAAAAAAAGAGGCTACATTTACCTTTTTATCAATAATAATATTTAAATAAAGAAAATGATTGATCTTTTTCTCCACCTCAGAATTATACAAGGAGAATGAAGGAATAATGTAGCTTCAACTTTTCTGGGATTGTGGTATCCAATCAATACCAAATTTTAGGAAGGAGTAGCTCAGTCTAACAGTTACTAGTGAGTTTATTAATATGGAGGGAGAATTAAGTGAAGCATATTTTAAGGTGAAATTTAAAAGCATTAGAAAATACAATGTTCAGCAGTATATTCCATATTTATGATTTTGTCTTAGTGAATTTTCAGGTACTAAATATCAAGTTTAATATACACATAAATAAACTGCATTCAAAGAACAAATCCTTCATGTTTCCTTCTAAACAGCAAGTTAGATTGTAGACTTTTTAAAGATTAGTTACTTCTGACCATCAGTGGATACTTCATCTGTGTAAATTAACTTTATTTTCAATTAAGAAAGGCAAATTTTATTTCACATATACAATGTTATGTCTTCTATTCTGCTTGGATTGGTATTTTGTTGACATCAATGGGATTTCTGCATCTTTTTTTGTCCAAAGGAAAATATGAATGAGAAAAATTTATAGAATAATCCTTCAGCCTTAGCAAAGACATTTGGTTACTGAGAGGAATGAGTTGCAGCCAGTCAGGCTGACAGTAGAGTGAGGCGAGGGTGAAGAGGAGAGGCCAGGCATCCAAATCTTTGCTGTGTTGTTTCATTAAAAATAATTAAATAAATTGGAAGCTTTAAAACATCTTGAACATTATTATTCAGAGATTGTTTTAAAAATCTTCTCAAACTATTGTTTCCAAGACCTACTCTTACTTTCTATGACCAGAGTGAACACAGCAGTATTCAGCACTGTTCCTATTCTTAACTTGGGCATTTCTACCTTGGAATTTTCAGAGTTCTTTAAAATGTTCACTTGAATGAAAGTCACTCTATTTCTCTTCTTTTTTTTTCTATTGTATTATGAAACAAGAGCTGTTTTCAACTGTTTTCCTAATAAAAAACATGAAAATGATCTAATTATTTCACGTAGGATAGTAAACAGGTTAATAATAATAGCCCCAAGGATTTTCAAAGTTTGTGACTGACGTAATACTTTGTATCTCCTTTATATCATCCTTTAACAGTTAGACCTGATAATTATACACCAGCAGGTGGAGCTGCTTGGAAGTAAGTATGGCATGTTCTTCACTTGTTAAAACTGTTGAAAATATTTTCATTTTCAGAAGTTTCTTTACATCAAAATATGTTAAAAGCAATAAAGTAAAATATGTAGAATAGAAATAGATCAAAAAGAAAACTACATCTGGTTTTTTAAATCAAAGCTAGGAGTAAAGTTATTGATCTGATTAGGTAAAACTAAAAGCATAAAACTCTCAGTGAGTGATATTGCCCTTAGAATTCTAACTGTATATTTAATCTTGAGATAATAAAAGCCATTTGATCATTCCCATGAATGTTAATCATTCAAATTTCTTTATACTTTCAAAAATGTAAGTCAAGTTTGAGACAACAAAAATCCATCCGAGCAAAAAGTCACTGTTTTACCACTTTATCAGTGATTCACTGTATAGGCAAATTATTTAACTATACACAAATTTGCAGGAATGACTAAGTGGCTTCAAATTACTTGAGTATTTTATGTTTAGGATATTCTACATTATTCCTAAATCATGCCAATATTTTTAACATATTTTTGAGATGCAGGTTTTACACAAACACAATCCTATCACTGTAAGTTGTTCCAATAATTTACGTATCAGTGATAGATTTATTATTTGAGTAATAGATTCTTCTCAGCATTGGATCTTTAGTTGAAAAATGATACTATGTGTTTTCAAGTAGTCATATATCTGGAATCAAAATTTATTAATGACATAGCTTTGTTTCAGGATTTATTTTGATTTCCATGGCTCAGTTCTTAAAATTTAAAGTATGGAAATAGATTTGTGTGGAGAATACCATACGCTTAATAATTAATTGGTTACTCTGTTTTAATAACACACCCCCTTAACTTATTTAAGGGTTATGATACTAAGCAAAACATTATTTTATGGCATTCTTCCTGCTCCATTAGTGATACTTGGCACTGAGACCTCCAACAAATATGAGATTAAAAACAGCTTGGGACAAAGAATTTACTTTGCAGTGGAGGAAAGCATCTGTTTCAACCGTACGTTCTGTTCCACGCTGAGATCTTGCACCCTGAGGATCACGGATAACTCAGGTCGAGAGGTGATCACCGTCAACAGGCCCCTGAGGTGTAACAGCTGCTGGTTCCCTTGCTACCTACAAGAGGTTAGTCACTGGCTTTGAAAGTCTTTATTTTTTTAATAATAGCAATTATTTCCTTAAATGAAATTCATCTGGAGCTATGGGGCAATTAACCTTTCAATTGTTTGAATCAGTAGGTTCCTCCGTTAGAATCAGGATAGTTTGAGGATTTCAGGTTTCACTAAATTTTTTTCTTTCCGATGAAAATCTGTGATGGTTTCCATGATGTTATTTGGTGATGACAGCTCATGTATCATAAAAATGAGACATGTCCTCCTGAATCTCGAAATGAGTCACGTAATTGTAGTGTCCACTACTGGGCAAATGGACCCTTTGTCTTCTCCAGCGGTAGCAACGTCCAGGAGGTGCTGAGTGATACTAAATCCTGTAAGGAGTTCCCTTGTGTAGGTAGCATTATTTAAGACAGAGTCTCACACTATGTTTACCATTTATGACATGGCAAAAATAACATTACTGTGCTAGAGGGAATAATTCAATTATTTTATTTTAATATACAATAGATTATTGTTGTTTAATAGCCCTGTAATAACTTCCATGACATAATGCAGTTAAATTGACACAGAACATTTCGTTCTTTAATGACGTTGATATTATGGTATCGTAGGAACTAGAAAAAGTAGGTTTTACTCTTCACATTTTGTAGTCAAGGACATAGAGTGGAGATGAGTTGCCCATGATTGCGCATTCAGGAAATATCATAAATGGGATTGATCTGGGTATCTAATCCAAACATAAGCTTCTCCATTGAGTACTTGTGTATAAGCTATATCCTTAGAACAATGGACAAGTATTAATATAAAAGTTGGTTATTTAAGGACTTTTTTTTTTCATTGTTAGGGATTCATTGAGAGTATAAAGAATTAGGTGACACTGATTGTAGTTGTTTGGTGAAGTCCCTCTTGTGATTGTGTCCTACCCCCAAGAGATGTGCCATACACTGTGAACCCCCATCCCCCTCTCTTCCCCCTCCTTGATCCCTCAGTCCTCTACCCTCCTTGTATTAGCTCATCTACAACCTTTATATTAGAATTAAGTACACTGGATTCCTGCTTCTCCATTCTTGTGATGCTTCACTAAGAAGAA